ACAGAGTTTCTGAGGCTATAAATCTTTACAGGAGCAGAAAGCCTCATCTTTCTCCCACGGAACAGCTGGTAGTTTCAAACTGCTGACCTTGAGGCTAGCAGCCTGATTCATAACCACTACGCTACCAGAGCTCCTTATAGGAATCTAAAAATGGGTCCAGAATTAAATTATTGAGAAAAGCCTGAGCATCGCGCATGCTTTGGTGTGAGACAGACAAAGTTCAACCCCTGTCTGTTTTCTCTCTGTGTGACATTTGACAAAATGACTCAGCCCATCTAAGTCAAAATTATCTTGCCTATAAAATGGGATGCATTTGTGTGTTATGGAGATGTAAAGAGTAAATACCTTAAAGGCTTATTATGATGGTAGCATAGTGATTAAGAGTCGGGCTGCTAACCTCAAGGTCAGCAGTTCTAAATTACCAGCTGTTCTGTGCGAGAAAGACAAGGCTTTCTGCTCCTGAAAAAAATTTGCAGACTCGGAAACTCTATACAGGGTCACTATGAGTCGGACTGACTCCACGGCACACTACCACCACCACCACCACCAGGCACCTAGTAGGGTTCAAAAGTATTGCCTCTTCTCCTCACACACTACCTGTCCTAGTAGAGCCTCCCTGAATGTGTGGGGAATGGAGAAAGCAAGCTGACTGTAAAAGCCATCACCGTTTGCTGACGGTTTAGCTGATGAGGAGAGGGCCCCATCTCATCCTTGGAACTCCATGAAAGGTGATTGTCCTTCCCATAGATAAAAGGTTTGATAATGTTTGGCTAGTGTGAAAAATATACATATAAGCAAGAAACGCTGAGCAAACTATCAGGAAGAGCAATAATAATAACGATTTAAAAAACCTCTTTAAAAGGTCAAAGTTTTCATAGCTCTATTCTTGTCCTGTTATGGCACTGTAGGATAAGCACTGGACTGCAAAGTCAGTTTGAACTGCAAGGTTGGCAGTTCAAGTCCACCAGCCAGTCTTTGGAAACCCCATACAGGATTACAATGAGTCAAAACTGACTCAACAGCTCAAACTGACTCAAAACACTTAAAACAACATCCCCATTCATAGATGTGGATTTAGTTCCTCTTGCTAAAGAAAAGTCTCCTCATCTTCTAATACACTGGTGTTAGGACCTTGTTGGGCTTTCATCTTAGGTCTTTAAGACCAGCTTAGTTCACCTTGTCTACCTTCTATTTACCCATTCTTCCTTCCCCTTTTGATTCCATTTTTTCTGTTGTTCTGAGTTTTTGAAGTCCAAGTTTTGATCCTTCCATGGAATCCCTTCCTACCCGGGCCATGTTCACTGGCCTTTGGCTTAAGCTACATTGCTGGGGTTAGCCGCTTTCACCATCATACCAAGATCAGAGATAGGGGCATTTAGAACAGCCTGGAACCTTACTTTGGAGTTGGGATCAGCTTCACTTTTAGAAATCCAGTCTTGTACCAGTTATTCAGGTGATTGCCTTAATTAACTTTGGTACTACATTCTTCATAGTAGATTTTACACAAAGACAGACAAAGAAAAAGCACTAAGTCAAGGTACTGTGAAAACTATTGTATTGGAGCCACATTGGTTGCTATTACTTTACACGCCTTGCCTTCCAGCCTACTCAGCTGTTGGAATTTAATTAGCAGTAATATATTATTGTCAAAGTAATTAAAACCTTGCCTTGATTAAAAACAGAATTGTTTAATTAAAAAGAAAAGGTTTGGCTAACCTTAACTTTCTATTTGAGAAATACAATGCTCTGAGCTGACTTTCCTTCTGTCCTCATTAGGCTTGAAGGTCCGGGAGGTGTTTATCAATGTCACCAGGCAGCAAGTGGAGGACTTTCATGGGCCAGAGGACTACTGGTGTCAGTGTGTGGCATGGAGCCATCTGGGCACCTCCAAGAGCAGGAAGGCCTCTGTGCGCATAGCCTGTAAGTACAACCTGGATGACCTTCTTGTCGTGTAGGGAAACAGGCAAGTGTTAAGCAGCCCTGACGAAGAACTTCAGAGATGCCAGATGCTTCCGCAGAATCTAGATTAGATGACAGCAAGAAACCATTAGAATTGTCTGTACCCCTCCTAAAATTTCCTCTTTTAAAATTGTATTTTAAATGTTTGATCATTTCCTCTGGAGTACAATCAGCAAATCAGTTTGGCTAAGAGATTCTGCATAGATTGTCAGAATGCAGGTGTCCCAACAATATAGAAAGACTGTTTCTGAGAGAAAGACGCCCACAGAAATGGATTCTGCTATGCACCATCGATGACAAAGGTCAAGGAGTATTGATGGGCAAAGAAGAGAAAATGCCCATTTACTGTGCTTTCCAGCAAATCTGCAAACATAAGACATTAAAGACATGAAGGGATTTTTATTGTCTACTGTTAAGTCCCTTAAGGAGTTCTGGTAGCGTAGTGGTTACATGTCGGGCTGCTAGCCTCAGGTCAGCAGTTCGAAACTACCAGCCGTTCTGCAGGAGAAAGATGAGGCTTTATGCTCCTGTAAAGATTTACTGCCTTGGAAACCCTATGAGTCAGAATTGACTCCACAACACATAACCACCAACACCACCACCACTGTTAAGTCCCTTCCCTATAAGTCTGAAAAAACACAGAAATGAGTTTTAAAACTGCATTTTTTTTTTTTTTTTGACCCAACTAAAACTTTTGGGGAGAAAGAGAGAGGCTTAGAAGTGGACAAGACTGTTTTTCAGGGAAATCCAAAATTTCTTTACTATATTTTAGTATTAGTATCTTTTATAATTTCAAAAAGATTTGTAAATATATAAACTTATTTTCTTCTCCTTTAAAAATTTCTTCATACCACCCAGCCCATAAACCCACCCCTTTGTTTATGCCCATGAGTATAAAAGTCCCACCAGAAAGAAACTGGGAGATGGAGAGCAGAGATGGTTATTGTTGTTTTATGCAAATGCTGCCTTTTGAGAGTGCTGTAAGGAATACAGGACCTGGGGGATTTATTTGAGGACTCAAGAAATTCTTCATAGCAGATGTCGATGGTTTAGGGATTAAGAATAGGAGTGAATTGCTATTTTCAGAGACATTTGTGTTTCCTGGGAAATGAAATCTTCCTCTTAAAATATGCATTTCGCCTTCACTATACTGGTGATTTGGGAGGCCCTCTTTGGAAGTTGCCTTGGTTTAAACAAGCCAGGGAGAAGAGGTCACCTTGTAAACTGTGCTCTGATTTGAGAGCCAACTGAAACATTTTCACTATAGTTATGTAGTTAGTTTATTTTGGCCAACACTTTGATCTTTTATTGCTTTAAAGTAACAATTGTACCAAGATCGAGAATGTGGTTCAATTCACTCTTGCTTAATGAGTTTTAGGAGCTCCTGGGTGGAACAGATCTGTAAGGTATTGGGCTGCTAACCAATAAAAGTTACCTCAAGTCCAACCAGAGGTACCGCAAAACAAAGCTCTGGTAATCCACTTCTAAAAATTCAGCCGCTGAAAATCTTAACTGAGCACAGTTCTACTCAGTGACACACGGAGTTGCCGTGAGTTGGAATTGATTTGATGACAACTGTTTTTGTTTGTGTGTGTGTTTAACTGGCCCAGGTCTGTACTTCTTGCATGGCTTGGTCAGACCCGCCAGGGCATTTGTCCATAGTAACTCGAACAATAAGCAGAAGCAAATATTGTCTGTGCTCTCACCAGAGTAAGGAAAGCAATGGTACCCACTGCACAGAGTTATTGTAACAGCTAGATATATATTAACAAATATTAAATTCATAAAACTGTGTATGGCATAGACTTGGAACTAATCAATCATTAGCTAATTTATGGCATATTTGATCCTCCATAGCACCAGCATCTTTCATGTGTATTATTGTTAATAGATATTTACGGAAACTAATTTAATTGAATGACAATTTTAGTGCTTTAGAAATCCTCTGCAGATCATGGAAACATGGCCTTTTTGTTGTTGTTGTTGTTATGTTTTTACTGTGGATTGAGTGATAGTTTACATAGGAGAACATCGGTTTTACACTCATGGTTTCACTACAATGATTACAATCCCCTCCATGCATCAACATTCAACAGTATTTGCTTCTATTCCCTGTGTGTGTGTTTTTTTTTTTTTTTTTTTTTTTGGGGGGGGGGGGGAGGAATAGACACAAAAACACTCCGGAATATATAATCATTTAAACAACCAAAGGGCACATTCTGCAAGTCTGCCTCCTGGCTGCCAGGAAAACAGACTTTTAAAAAAATTCATTCTAGGTAAGTCCTTTGTGTCTAACTCTTCCATCATCATGGAATTAAATATGCTAAACATTACATTGGAGTTCTGGAGTACTGGTATGGTGCTGTAGGACAGGCATTAGACTGTTAAGCACACATTCAATGATACAGGTCCACTATCTGCTCCTTGGAAACCCTATACAAGGTTGCTTTGAGTCAGAACCAATTCAATGACACTTAACAACAACAACAAAGGCCAATTAACTTGTTGAAAGTTATATTCTTTCATGTTCTGTGATTTTTAAATACATAAGGGATTAAGAAAGCATTAGGTTGTCATTGTGATATATGACATATATAAATATATGATAAAGATGCCCTTTTTAACTAACAAAAGCATTAGAATGTCATTAAAAGCTATGTTATAAAATCCCTTTATATAATCTGTAATACAATTTAAACAGATTTTTAATTTCTTCCCATGTAGTAAGAAAATAGATTCCTTAATTTATTTAAAATTATTTATGCAAGTGTAGGCATGATTTGTCATTAAATATTACATTTGACTTGGGGAACAGTATATATTAAAATGTAAATCGAAACTTAACTATGTGTAATGTCATCAATCATAGTGGGAGTGGAAAACTGCCTTGAGAGCATCCTGATTGAAATTCTTTTGATTTGCTTGTCAGAAAAAAAAAATCGCTTTTTGAAAAAAGTATAATTTTTATATTTTGTTTCTAAGTGTTGGGATAAGAGAGAAGATTTCTGGCTGCTGTTTGCAAGTACTTCTCTCAAATAACACATTGAGCGTGAGGGTAGTCTTTATTCTCAATAAATGAAAAGCCAAATTGTATTTAATTGTCACCATGTTTCTTCTTTTAAAGATTGGTTTGTGAAGTACTAAAGACATCTTAATGTGCAGAGTATAGATTTTGATAGATGAATGTAGCTTATAAATCTGATGACAATTTTCTTGAGGGGTCTTTGCAGAACTATGGTCATTTTTATATTATCCATTAAGTTGTTGTAGATCAACATCAGAATTACTTCTGTTTTCTACATTTAACTGATAATTGAACAATTTAAAATCTACAATGGGCAAAACCTCCATGGCAGCTGGGGCATTCAGCTAAGGGATATATTGACTGGCGTGTCAGCGTGATCAGGCTTAGCTAAGCTCTAGCACAAAGCCCACTATTTAGAGATTATTTCATTTTAAAGGTAAACTATATAAATACAAATATTTTATTCATTTAACTCTTATTTTCATTGAGATAGACCCATCAATGCTCATGAAAGCAACCATCAAGAAATAAAAGTTTCCTGGGGATGAGAGAGAGAAGAGGAAGGGCCGATTGGTTTAAAGTGTGGTGAGACCTGGGGATACCTAAGCCCATGGGTAAGGACATAGTCGCAGAGGGCCAGAGCTGAAAGTGAAGCATCCAGCTGATACGAAGTGAGGGGATATGCACAAAAACACCCAAACTTACAGATAGTACCCATTTGACCTAGCCTTGATGGTTTGATAAATCAGAACTCAACTAGAGAAAGATTAAAAAAAAAAACTTTTTTTTTGATAATGGAAATGAGAAAATTGCTAAAATTTGATGAACTTGACCTGAACTCATGATGTGGTAGCTAAAATATCAACAGAATGGGAAGGAGTCTTTACATCAATTATCAATGCTATCCCTGGGTAGATAGGGATGGGCAATTTAGAAACTTAGACATTGGCTACCTAAAATGAGGGGATGATAGAGGCACGAAGTGACTGGCTTACAAGTTTTCAAGAGGGAGTTTAGTTTAAGAGTGTGTGGGGAAAGATAAAGTCCCAACTGAATAGTTTTCATCTTGTCTAGATGGGTTTGGTGAAAAGATATGGGGATAAGATTTTTACAATTCAATAGTGAGTAATTGTTATCATGACTAATTATGTCTGTCACAATCATAAAGGTAGATGTTTTGTAACAAAAACGGAGGAGTAGTTAATCTTACAGTCCAGAAACAGAGGACTCCAGGACCATCAAGGGAGAAGAAAGAGTACAAGCAGAATGCAGGACCCTATCCAGAAAAACAGAGACACCAGTAATGGAGGCAGAGATGGGGACATGAAGAAAGGGAGCAGCTGAGGACTCTGGATTCATGGAAAGAGAGGGATTGAGATTTGGCGGCCACCAGGCAGACTTGCAGAATGTGCCCTTTGGTGGTTTAAATTATTGTATGAGTGTTTTGGTTTGTTTTTTTTTTTTTTAAAAGAGCTAAGATGAGTAGAGAGAAATACTGTTAATTGATGGTACGTGGAGGGGATCACAATGATTGTAATGAAACAAAGTATATGATTTTTTAAATATAAAACTGATGATCTGCCCTGTGAACTTACTCAATTTCACAATTAAAACTTAAAAAAAAGGGGGGGTGGAGAGAAAGAAAAGGTTGTATGCATTAGACAAATCTGTTGAAAAATACTTCTTTAAAGTGTTTTAAGGAAAAAACAAACACAAAAATGACAGTTTAAAGACAAAGGTGTGCCATAAAAGAATTGATGCATTTGAAGTATGGTGTTGATGAAGAGTATTGGAAGTACCATGGTTTGCCAGAGAACAAAACATCTGCGTTGCTGATGGTGAGACTTCCTCTCTCATACTTTGGATATGTTTCAGGAGTAGCCAGTCTCTAAAGAACAACATAATGTTGGGAAAAGGGGAGGGTCAATGAAAACTA